CCCTAGGGCACCACGCGCCGTGTCCTGGGCACGGTGGGGGACATGCCCTGCTCCTGGCAGGAAGCCGGTGGTCCTGCCCAGGTGAGGCCTCTGGCTCTGCCGTCCCCCCCAGAGCACCGCGGGAGGAGGAGCGCCTGCCGACATGGATTCACACGGAAATAGCCTATTTTGGTGGCGCAATCAGGCTGACAATGGAGTTACAAGGCTACGCGGCAATGCAGCCAGGAGCTGAATTTACACTGTTTACAATATCTCCTGCAAAACAACAACCACCCTGTTCCCAAAATCCAGGCTGGACACTGATATGATTGAAAACGAGCCCGACCCACCCCCACAATGTCGTTTCCTGACACTGTTCTGGCAGCCCAGGGCTATTTTGAGCCATAAGGCTCTGCCACGCTCTGCTCCATGGCACCCTGTGGGGTGGGCACGGGGAAGAGCTTGGCCCTGTCGCAGGGCACGGTCCTCATGGCACTGCAGGAGGAAGGTGATTTTGGCCAGAGCACAGCCTCACGCTCAGAGCACAGGAAGGCACCCGGATCTCCCAGCCGCCCCAGGACATGGGTCTCTGGGTTTTGGCCACGTTGCAAAATGTTCTCTCCCATTTTTGCACCAGTTTGGGATCTTAGGTCAGCCTAGGACACGAACAGAAAACATCTGAAAGCTTGGCAAGGTTTGCAGGATGGCAGAGGCTGCCCCACCCCTGCTAATCCACCCCTTGGCCCCAGTAAGTATTCAGGGGGATTTGCTAGATGGGACGGCCCAGCGGGATGGGGGTCAGCACCATGTCCCCCAGCCAGGCACGCTCGCAGGCTGCCGGCGGCAGAAGTGGCTCCGGAGGAGGCTTGGTTGTGTCCCCCGCCCCAGCCAGCCCTGCCCTGGCTGCCTGGTGCTAATAGGCACCCACCTGACAGCATCGATTTTCCTCCTAAAGGCAGAGGAGAGAATTGTCTCAACTATAATTCCTCAATGTTACATTTTTCAATTATATCTTGAGCTTGACACCGCAGTCACTCTGCTGGCGATTGCCTCCACACCTGCCCCTGCCGTGATGAATCTGAAATCATTAGCCCCGTGGCGACAG